ATATAACTGGCCACTATATATTATATTATATTATTATATAATATATAATATAATATAATATATATAATAATATATAGTGTATAGTATAGTGTATAGTATAATATATAATATATATATAGTGGCCAGTTATTATTTATAAATAATAACTGGCCACTATTATTTATATTGTATTCTGTATACTTACGTGCTGATCGAAATATCCAGCGTAAGCCAGGAAAGCGGACGATAATAGAACATCCCCGATGATGGTAGACATTTGGCTCTTGAAAGTTTCACTGGTCGCCTCCCATCGTTCCCTTTCGATCACCAACGATTTCAACAACGCTATAGAACGATCCACCTTTGCCTGTACACTTTCCAGATCAGCTTTGATAGCCTGCGCTTGGGAAATCAGCTGGGCATATTCCTCTTTGTACGAGGCTATACTTTGTTCCATTTGAGCGATCAAGTTCTTGACTTCTTCGCCCTTCTGTTTGTTAGTCTCGGCTTGTCTTTCCAAAGAATAGAGCTCGTCTCGAAGCGGCTCGACGCGTTTCAACATGTCCGCGTATTCGATCTGAAATTCAAGTACGATTCACAATTTTCGTGTCGCCCCTTATATTGGCCTTTATCGAAACGAATGTATTAGGGGGACCGGAAAGTAATGTTTCGTTTCTGCGCACGTCAGTATTCCTTTTTTTCTTGCATACTAATTTTTGCATACTAAAAATTTGCATACTAAATGAAAAAAGGTTGTTGACAATGAGGGTGATCACATCATTGATTGAAAATGAAAACTAGTTAAAAATTTATCTGTTTGAATTTAACGTAAACAAACAACATAACTTTCCGGTCCTCCTAATACAATCAAGAAACGTGTGCGATTACCTGTGCGGTAGCCCATTTGACGAGCGGCCCGCAAGCCAAACTGGCTCGGTTTACTTTTTCGAAATTGTAGTCAGGGTTGCTCAAATAACGACTCTTCATTTTCTCTCGTACCTCGTCCCTGTGAGTGAGAAAATATACGTGAGTGCAAAGCCATTGGACCATCCTTACTATATTACTTGATTATGCGATTTTGGTACACTTGGTTAACGAACGAAAACCCCGAATTTTATCATTTACTTTTCGTTACTACGGTATTACACACGAAATCGAAACGGGTTAGTAACAAGATAAGTAAACAACCTTTGTCTTTTGCATCATGCTTTGAGTAGTATAAATCAATTGTGCCTTGTGAAATCTTTCGCGAATGCATTTCGGTTTTTTCAGCTCTTTAGAGAGGTCTGTAAGATTTTTAGGTTCGATAACAGCAAGCACAGAGATTTTTCATTAGTTTTCTATAATACATGTACATTCGTGTAAGAACAAGTATTAGTGATACACGGAGTTAGGCTCGCGAGGATAACGATAACAGAACATTTTTCGTATCGACCGAACTCTGCGTCAACGAACAGTCAAGTTCGCTGATTCCTCCCGGTCAAGGTCAAGGAATTCGATCGTTCGTCAAGGAAATAGAAGAAACATGAAATGCATGCTTACGTAATGTCCTCGGTACTGAAATTAGAGACGATAGTATTGATAAAATTGTCTCTCATGATGACAGCGCGGATCGATTTCCAGTCGCTGGCGTTTTCGCCGAGCAACAAGCAGATAGATTCCAACGCGACCTTCACGATGGCCGGTGGATTCGCCATGGACCGAACTTCGACTAAATGTTGTTTCTTTATCGATTTCACCGCTATACGGAAAAATGAAACGAATTCGTTTAGATGCAATTTACAGTGAGGAACGCTGAGTGCAGGCACGGTGCAAATTAGAGAGATAAGTTACAAGTTACAAGAAACAAGAGAACAAGCTTCCGCCGGAGGGCTGCGTATCGGGTATGCCGGGAAACCTAGAAAGTTATTTACAAAACAGTATTGTACAGAGATATATTCATAGCGGAGGAGCCGATTCGAATGGTTTCTCGCTGTTACAGAGATTCGCGTACGCGCGTCTAAAACGTGTGTGTAGGTTTACAACATTTGTACACAGGCAAAAGATGTAACACGTATGGCGAAGCGGTTATTGGACCTCGAATCTGCCTCGACAAGTCCCCATATAATAATTCCGAATGTCATAATACATTCAGCGGATCCTAGATTATTGTTTCCTTACGTGATCTCCTCCGTGTTAAAGTTGACGATGGTCGGTATAAAGCTATCCTTCATAATGACGGCGCGAATCTGTTTCCAATCGGTCGCATTCTCCTCGAGCAACAGGCATATAGATTCTAAAGCGAGCTTTACGATGCTGGGAGGATTCGCCATCGAACGAATTTCGACCAGATACTGCCGCTTAATCCCCTTCACAGCTAGACTCATCGGAAATGTTTCAACGCAACGTGTGTGGCATGCGTCGCTCAATATATTCAGTGATTCAGAATGTAATGTAGCAAGCAACGATCGCAGAAAGATACTTTTGTCACTTTCTGCGATTGTTGCTCTCTAATATATAATATATAATCTAATATATAACTAATATATAATCTATAAAACGTATAAATCAATGAAAAAGAAAGAAACAAGTTGAGGCGTCGACGCGTTAACGCTATAATACCTACCATTTTGTGCATCGATGACAGCCGGCTCGACCTGCGCCAGGTCGGCCATGACGTCGTCGGTTTTTTGATTAATGGCGACCGTTTGTATCGCCAACTGTTGTTGAATCTCCTGACTCTGTAACTTCTTCATTTCCGCCTCTTGTTGATCCATAATCATTTGTTTCAATTTCGCGTTGGCAGCTTCGTTCTTCGCATGCAACTCCTACGAACGAATGAAACTCCGTTAAGAAGAAATCTTCACGAAGTTCGATACTCCATTCACGGTAAAGATTTTACCTGGGACTTGATAGCCAAACTCTTCTGCATCTCTTCAACCTGCTCCACGGTCTCCGCAATCTTGCTCAGACCGACGTTCAAATGTAGCTGTTGCTCCTCCAAATCGCTCCTCTTCTCTTGATACAGTTTGACGAAATGATTGATAAAGTCCAAGTAATGCCGCGGTGTGATCGCCATGGTTCTGCTGCCCCGTTTAGCTAGTCTGGCGTTGGCTTTGTGCAGCGTTTGATGCACGTAGACGCACGCGTTGATCACGCCGTCTCTGTGAGATGGTTGCGCCGGTATCAACGAGCACACGGACGGGAAGAAGTCCGGGCACTTCCACACGGGTTTCTCCAAATCGACGCGACTGGTGAACTCTTTACCGACTTGGAAGAGCGCGTTGTCGGACCAGTCGCCGAACCAATTCAACACGCATCTGTTGAAGAGCGCGGGCGATGTCGCGGCCCGGTCTTTCAGCCCGTCCGTGCTTGGATTCATGGTGAACACCACGTGCAGGTTCTTCATTACTTGGCTGGTGAACCATTTGTAGAGCTCCTCGTTCGAATCCAACATCAATCCCTCGCGCTGCGCCCCTTCCTTGCACTGCGTCATCAGCGTCGTATACTCATCACCCTCGAACAGCCCGGGTACCTCGCCGTTCGCAAGCAATGTGTTCATACGCTCGAGAAAACCAGAATCCAACACGTTCGACTCGTCGAGTATGAATGCTATTTTCTCGTCCTTGCAACCAGAACGCCTCAACACCTGTCGCAAATCCTCGTCGAAGTCTTCGCCGGTGTACTTGTTGTGCACCTGTTGAAACGAAGCTAGCGGTCAGTCGATTTTCATACGTTTCACCAAGTTTCACGCGTCAAATTGGAATACGTTATTCGAGAGCCTGAGGCCCATACCTTGATTTGGAATATCGACAAACCGTTCATCCACGCAACAAATCTAGACAGAGTCGTCTTACCAGCACCAGAGACACCAATTAATAGTAAATGTCCCTGAGGCTGTCGGAAGATTCTGTCGATCCGTAAAACATGTTCTAGAACTTCGTCGAAGAGCACCAACGGTACGTCCAATTCCTCTTCGTAAAAGACCTTTAACCTTGCCCTGACATAATCGCGTAACTCTTGCCTGTTGACCGGCACGTAGTCCTTCGACAACCAATTGCTATACAAGATGGGTCTTGCCAATGCTTTTTCTCTGTCGACGCTCATGAAGTGTTTCATGGCGACGGTGTCTATGTTCTTATTCGTCCAAGCCCTTTCGGTGTCTTCCACCAGCCTGTCTTGGAAGAGGCGAAGCGCCTCGTGAGCCCACAACCGTACCAAACCTTCCACCGACAGGTTGTCGAGAGGACGAATTGCTTCGCAGATGCCGCGCACCCATCTGGTCATCTCACGCGGAGAATAAACGTAATGCGGTTGCATGTCCTGAGTAAATTTCTCTTGCGAGGCCAGATAGAACTCAACCATCGCGTTCGTTAAAGGCTCCGCGTAGCCCCTCAACGATGGCGTTAGACTGAAACGAATGTTAGGATTGAACATTTTTCTTTGTTGACAAGCGCTGTTACATAACAGTTGGGAGGAAGTGCCCTTACCGAAGCATAGCGCGCGTGAATGTACCATAGATCTGTTTCAGAGAAGTCTCGCCTGGATAATCGACGTAAATCACTGGAACGTGTCGCAGGAATCTGTGACTTAGGGGCTTTCTTCCCGGATCGGTGGGAGGATTGCAGGCACCGACGAACTGTATTCTTTCCAAGGTCACCCAAGCTTGATCGCTGGTTCGATAGAAACCCCTGTGCTCCACCAGTTGTCTGAGGAACGAGATCACGCGCTGCGTTCCATAATTATCCATGTCTGGTAGGTTGATCTCGTCGCAGAACAGGACCAGCCACTTGCCCAATTGCACCGGCGAAAGGATCACGCCGTTCGGAGTCTTTCGATATTCGCAATAATGATCGAACGTCTTTAGTAACAGTTCCGGCGTGGTTGCCGACGAGAAGTTCAGTCCAACCACTTCCATGTCGGGTAGAGCTCGCAAGGCGGAGAAAAGAGTCATGGTTTTGCCGGAACCCGGTGGTCCGCAAAGCACTAGAAACGAAAACGTAAGCATTTACAGGGTGGTCCTATTGCTATATGCTATTTGAATGGTTTGAAAAAATCATAGTATTGTAAAAATATTTTTTTCTAAGCTCATTTTTTTCGAAATTTACAAGGTTATCGATGTTTCTGTTTTTTACATATAATTGTATAATTTTTTGTATTGCATCATGTAGTTGATGTAAAAATACGTTCAAATACGTACATTACATGATCTTGAAATTACCTTTGAGTTCAAAAATTGAATGAATGAATTGAAAACATCGATAATCTTGTAAACTTAGAAAAAGATGACCTCGGAAAAGAATATTTTTTACAATATTTATATTTATATTTATTATATTATTATATATATATAATAAATAAATATAAATATTGCAAAAAATATATATTATACTATATTATTATATTATTATTATATTATTATATTATATTATTATATATAATAATATATATATTATATATATATATAATATAATATATATTACTATATATTATATTATTATATTTATTATATTTATTTTTATATATTATTTTATTTATTTTTTGCAATATTCTTTTCAAACCATTCTAATAGCACAGAAAATGTTTTTTGTACCCCTACAATTAGAAGAGATATTTAGGTAACTGTGTAAGTATATAATCACATAACTATGTATTACCGATTGGTTTATGTTCTGCTAACCACGTGTACAGCAGACTCTCATGCCTGACCGTGTCCAGAGTCGGCACAACGATGTCTGGACTGGCAACTTTGTGCGTCTCCACTTCGATCTGAGGAACCTTGTTGCTCCACGGCAACCATTCGCCGTGAATACTTACTTCGAAATCTATAATTGGAATGTTAGTCTGCGACGGCAGAGGCACCGTTGTAATAGACCTGACAAAGTCTCCCAAGTCGGACCTAACTTTCAGCTTGGCATCCCCGGCGAAGCTCCAGAGCAAAGCGTATATCAAACACTTCGGCATATAACGCTCCAGCTGTTCGTACGGCAGTGGGAAATCCACGTGCGCGTGATTATATTGCAAAACGTTGCGCACCGATTGATTCAACATGGAGAACAGGGAGCTCAATGCTCGCAAACGCGTGAAATCCATGATATGCTCTTGCTTCATAGCGTATTCCAAGCATCGAACCACCATGCCATCCGGTGCAAAGTAGCTCTGCAAGATGCTGGCAACTTCCCTCTGCACCGCCACGACAGGATGCATGGTGGCCTCTTTCTCTGGCGCCTTCTTGTTCAGGTTATCCTCTTCGCCGTCCTCGAGCGGAATGTTTCTCAACCGCAGCATGTAGTTCTCGAATATCATTTCCGTGGAGAGCACGTCTTCGGAGAACCAAACCATGCCGCAACGGGACACGGTGGCCAACGTTGCGTACTTCAAATCCTGAACCTCGAACATAACTCTCACGTTCGGCGGCAAACTGAGTCGCTCGCCGTTCGGCAGAGTCAGCAGTTTATTGTCGTCCAGCACGGAGTTCAGGTTTTCAACCCATTCCGGATCGACGTCGCCGTCGAATATGATCCATTGACGTTTATTTATCTCGCCTCTGACGTTGTCGATAATCTTTCGAAGAATGTGCGTGAACAGACCGTCGGTCCATTCGCGCGTATTCGGGTCCAATACGCCGTACAACGTTTCCTTGCTAATCGCTTTCGGATCGATCACGTGCGCGACGCCTTCCACACCCTCGAATCGCTCCAAAGCTTTCAAGAGCACCTTCCACGCCATCGTTTTACCGGAACCGCTTGGTCCGACCATCATCAGTCCGTGATTCAGGTTGCAGATTTGATACAGTTGGAGCACCTAAACGAAATAATTGTTAGATTTCAGAGATTCCGTGGGTATGGTAGAACAAGCAACAATGAGAATCATGAGAATTCACAAGACGGAATACCATCTATTTGTTACATGTATATACGTGAAATAATATTTAATGAGCGACACCTAATCGCAATTTTCATTTTCTCACCTTTCCTAGCCAGGTCCCACCGACTACTTCCTGAGAGTGCGTACAATATAAATAGTTTACAGATTAAGAACACATCCTCTGCATTGTATCATAATTTCGTAGTAAACACAAATAAAAAAAGAGTAAAAAAGAAAATTTTAAAAAGAGAGAAAATATAAAATTACAATTCTCAGAAAGTTACATTCATTTTGTAGTTTTGTTTGATTTCACTTTTTGTTTTGTTTGATTCTACCGATTGATTTCGTGCAGCTATATCTTAGATGAAGGCGAATTTAGTGCTGGTAAGATGATTAGTCTCCATCAACCGAACACTGTGTTACGCTATTACCTTTTCTTGCCATGCGCCACCTTGTTCGTCGCCTTCGCCGCACACAAGATATTCCTGCATGCAAACCTTTCTAATTTGACGCTTCAATTCTGAAAGTGTACCATATTGTTGACTCATGAGAGAAACGATAAAATGAGATTCGAAGATAACGATAGATCAAAGCGAATATTATATTACCTTTCATCTCGGCCCGAGTATAATTCACATTCGGGAACACGTCGTTCAACAGACTGAACAGCAAAGGGATATCCTCGGCAACCAACTTTGGCACCATTGTCTCGCAAACGGACTGAATAAGGATTTCTTGTTCTGGCAGATTTTCAGCGATCGACGCCTCGTCGATGTTCGTTTCGCCACGGTTCTGCATGCCTTCTTTGATCTTTTGTATACGATCGCGTTTCACGTTACCGGCAGAGATCAGCACCGATTTCAGGGCTCGTAGACCGAAATCGTAATGAGACTGATCCGAAAGTTGTTCGTCGCACAGTCTGGAACGTATAGAAACGTGGTATTTTATTGCAAAGCATTACGAAACGTGGGTTAGCTATGGATAAAGAATTCCTTTAAGCGAGTTCTTTGAAAATAATTGCTCACTTGAAGAATGGTACAATCTTGCAGGCTAATTTCTCGGCCGATCTGAATCCTTGACTGAAAAGCATAACTTCGGCGATCAACTGCCTGTCCGGCGTAGTCATAGCCAGTGATCTGAATAGTTTCTTCAAGTTGTCGGGAAGATTCGATCGTCCAGCATAGCCAGGATTCATGGTGATGAAGATCGCCATATCCGTGGACACCTTGACTTGTTTACCGACCAGTTCCACGCAGAGGGTTCCTTCTTTCTTCCCTTCCATTTGACTCTTCAATGCTTCCTGGATGGTTTGTACTTGTTGAGAGACAGCCGAGAGCATCCTCTCCTCCAGACGATTGAATTCGTCGAAGCAACCCCACGCGCCGACTTGACAGAGACCGACGAAGATGCGGCCCATAGCCTGGAAAGTTATAGATAAATATATTAGGTTGACAAGGATGAAATTTGTAGTTAATAATATTGCCAACTTCAACAATTTATTATTTGACATTGGCTTAATATTTTACCGTTCTGTTTTTTTTTTATTGGAAAGTTACAAATCTCGCTTGTTTAAAGAAATTATTTTAAGCTCTAAAAAATATTGAAAACTTTTTTAAAAATTAATTTCGTTGAAAATGGAACGGTCGAAAATTCGCACTATTATGAAGTATGAGTTCTTACGTGGAACTACGAAATAGACGCGTGAAACATTAATAGTGTATTTGGCTCTAGTGTAAC